AATATCAACGAAGTCTATTAATTTTAATCAAAAGTTAAGAATTTTTACATATAAAATGAAATTTATTTTTTTAAATTTTCACAAAAATATCTACTGTATCGAAAAAATATCTAACACCGCTACTGATCAACATAACCGCATCCACGTATGCATATTTCGAGTTGGATGTCTACTACCGTATACTTAAAAAGGAAAAACAAGAGTGGAACTCTATTGTTACAAGAGAATTAAAAACCAATTAAAAGAAAAAAAGTTGATGAAAAAAAGTGGTGCGAAAGGAAAGGTGGAGAGTCCACAATAATTGGCATCAAATGCTTATGGGGATTCGCACTGTTGCTGAATTCCGAGATCTACAACCGTATATTAATTTATTCAACTTTACGAATTGAATAAATAAAAATAATTAAATTAAAAACATTAAAATTAAAGGCTTCAACTTTTTGTTGCCTCCATTCTTCGGTTCCCCATTGGCCGAGCGCCAGGCCTCTTAGCTATCTTCTTTGTCTTTCTCTGTACAAAAAGGAGAGAACAAACAAACCAACCAGAAAATTAATTTAAATATTCCAAAAAAGCTTTTCGAAAAGAGGAAAATAAATCAAAATAAAAAGAGAAAGTAGCAGAGAGCAGGAGAGAGGGAGGGAGCCAGCACTGCTACTACTGCCAGAAGAAAAAAAAAAAGGAAAAAAAAAATGAAAAAAGAAAGGAAGAGAGGACCAATTAGGGGTCCGTCGGAAAGTTGAACCCCAAAAAGGTAACGCCCTCTCAAGCTTTTCTCTCTCTAAGCACCACACGTAGTACCCACTTGGTGCTCTCCTCTCAGTGCTTTCCATTATCTGCCATTTCGGAGCTACACGAAGCAAATGCTTTCAACATTTTTTCTGGGTTTTTGTTACTATTGAGTGCTCGGCTTTTTCTTCTTCTTCTTCTTCTCCTCCTCCTTCCCCATCTTTTGGGAATTTCTTTTGCTTCAGGAGCTTTCGAGGGTCTGAAAATTTGAGGGATTTTTCTATTTGGGGATTTTGTTCGAGTTTTGGGGATTTGGGTATTGCCGTTGGAGATTAAAGTTGCTATTTTTTGCTGAAATTTGAAGACTTTTGTCACCAGTTATGGCGGGTTGTTGCAGCTTAATTGGGGTAGCTGCAATCGTCGTTGAGCCGTGGAATCTAAGGTTTTGAACTCGATGAGCCTAGAGTTTTGATAATTGAGCAGCCCCAAATCAGTGGTTTCTGGTAACGAGAAGGAAAGCGTTGGCTTTACGCGACATGGAATTTCAATTCCTTCAAAAGTATCGTGCGTTGATTTGGATTGTGTAGTTGATTTGTGTGCTCCCTCGACTGGGATTTAGTAGCAGAAATTGCAAGGTAATGGCGATGCAGTCGAACACAGGGTTTCACCGTAACGAAGCTTTTGGCTACGGTTTGAACCGACACGCGATATCGTTTCAGTCCGGGGCCATAAACAGCAGCTCGGAGATGATTCCGATGGGGAATTACTTTGGTACGGACGGGGGCATGATGTTTTCGTCTCATTCGGGCATCGTTAACAACAATCCTGTAATTAGTCAGGCTGGGAGTTCATCTGGTTCTCTGCTTCTCGATTCGGTCCCCGGGCTCAAGCATGACACAGGTTTGGCTGTTGAGTGGTCTGTGGAGGAACAGTACAAATTGGAGGAGGGCCTTGGCAAGTAGGTCATTCGGAATCTTATCTCTTGTTAAATTCGTTCGTTCATATATGTGTGTGTTTAAGTGCCACAGTTATGTATAATTGCCTATTAGTTTGATATTCGTGTTGCTAAACTACTTTTTGTTACGATTCATTGGATGTTGTGACGAAGCTTCTGATGTGATTAAGTTTTGTTGTTGATGGAGTCTCGTAATGTTTGCACTGTCTAACTGTAGCAAACTTCAAATCTTCATTCTAATACAGGCATAACATATATTTCCTTGGGACTTAAATCGTCAGCTTCTTAAACCATTACTTTATGTCTATGGCCTCCCTTCCATCGTGCTCCAAAACTTGAATTGGTGTGGTTATGATCTAAGTAGCCTTGTTGTTTCACATATCCGCTTGCTATGATGTGAATTGAATTTCTTTCACTTTACTGTCTGTTGCCTAGTTGTTGTCCTACTATGGTGGTTTCATTTACTGTGTTTTGAGTTTAACATTTTTGAGCCATTTATTTCCCAAATGTAGATATGCCAATGAACCAAGTATTATGAGGTACATAAAGATCGCGGCAATGTTACACGATAAAACTGTGCGTGATGTTGCTTTGAGGTGTAGGTGGATGACTGTAAGCTCTTCACCTAATGATGTATTTTTAGTTTTGTTCATTTCTTTAGATTTGTTCCTTAGATTTTTTGGTTGAGTTAGAACTACTTTTGAAATGTTTTGCAGAGAAAGCGTAGGAAATCTGAAGAACATAGTATGGGAAAGAAGGGGAACATTAGGAAGGTATATTTCTGAAGTTTATACGAATTGTCTGACATTGGTTTTGGCTTGAACTTTTCATTTTTGTATCATGAAGATTCATTCAGTTCTAACTGCAGTTATTGTTAGACATGAAAACTTGAGATCCCTTGATGTATCGGTGACTTTTGGTGTCCGAAGCTGTAACACAGTGAATGGGATTTTTGTTTTAGTTAATTGAACCAATGAATGTCTTTAGGATCTTATGTTGATTGAAGAACCAGTATTCTAAAGATCATGCTTCTTCAGGATAAACTGGTGGAGTCTTCTTCAAAGACAAACATACATTCAGCTCCACCACTGGACATGGCTGCATATTCTCTTATGGGGCACCATATGGACCAGAATGAGCGTTTGCAGTATGAAGGTTCGAGAAACTACCTTGTTTCTTCTCTCATTATTGTTTTCATCTAATCGTATAGTTCCTATTTGCGCACATCTCTCTCTCAGTTAATATATGTCTGTATATCGTTATTTCCTCCCATTGCCTTTAAAGAATCCATCATACACATTTCATTCTTTTTTTTTTCTTGCTATATTGTTCCTTCTTCCCGTCTTGAAGTTGTGCACATACACTTAATTATTATATTTCATTTGATAGTTTCATTGACGTAATTGTTCTTTGGTTAATATCAGGATTAAGTGGCACAGCCAAGCATCTATTGGAGCAAAATGCTCAAGCTTTCAGTCAAATTACATCTAATCTTTCTTCATACAACGTCAGTGCCTCCTGCCATCATAGTTCATGTTGATTATTGCACATCTAATTTGCATGCCATATTGTTCCACACGCTACGGTTGAAGTCATATGTCAAAAGCGAAAAGGGAATATGCCTTTTCTTGTTATGTTACTTTATGCAACTGATGCATTATGTGGCAGCATTACTGCTTGATAGTCTTCTTCTGGAATTTTACTTTTCCAATTGATGAGCATATATTGATGAATGAAATAATTCACTACATTGATCTACTCAGTTATGTTAAGCTGACCTTGTTTGCTGTTGACATGGTATAATCCAATACGCTACATACACGTGTTATCGCTAAACGATGACACTGCCTACCCCTAGCATCTCTCTTTTCTGAGTTTTAATTTGCCGGCAGAAATTTTATCTGCATTTCTGATGACCATATAATATCATTAACATATGAATCATGTGTTTTATTATCGCTTGCTTAAAAGTTTGTTTCTTTCATAAACAGTTACAGGAAAACATTGACCTCTTCTACCGCACGAGGAACAATATAACTGCCATCCTTAACAAGTATGTGCATAGTTTCAATGTATATTACAAATAATGCCGATTTGGTGAACTTTGACGAATGCTTTTTCATTTTTCGCAGCATGAGAGCTATGCCTGGCATAATGAGCCAAATGCCGCCACTGCCACCCATTGACGAGGATCTTGCTAATAGTATCTTGCGTAATGCGACTTAGGTAAGTTCATGTGAAATGACTCATATATTCTTGGTGAGTTGGTGTGCAAGACACGGGCACTTGTGAAGGCGGGAGGGGTTGGAAAGCGTTTTCCAAATTGTTGTATAGCTGGATGAATGTGCACTCTTTATTTACACCTTTCGTAACTGTTAATTCTAGACTATTTCAGCCTGTAATCTAATACGCATTCGATGAAAGTACTAGCCGTCATTTCTGCATTTCTTCACTTAGAATTGTCCTCTGTTTATTTTTTAACAGCATTTGATTACTTGCATATAAATAATAAAAGTACTCTTGAGGAGCAATCGCCAAGTTTCCCCCTCCCAAACGCCTACTCCGAGTTTAATTTTGTGTGCACGCTTTCTCTAGGCTCATCGCTTGATGCCAATGAGCCGAATATGAAACTTTTTTACCTACGGAGTTGATTTTTTATTTGTAATGACCAATTCAAGCAGACAATTCAAGTTCATGAATCCTGATGGACTACCTCGTTGTCTGAGGCGCAAAGCGAACGAGTTGGGAAGCAGTGTTGGATATCTCCGACGAGGCATACTCAGACCCGCCTGAATTTGGCCTTTGATCTAAGTTCTCCATCCCTGGCTGGCTTCATCTGTTGTGTCTAAAAGTACAGATTATGTACCATTACTTCCATTTGTGCAGGAAATAAGCGATGTAGATGTAGTTTGAGCTCCCAGTACTTATTGTTTCACTCTTGTAAATTTCAATTTATAATTGCTAATTGTACCACATCGCTTTTGTTTGGTACCCCGGTTTGATTTGAGGAAAACTAATGAAAAGGACTTGAAAACTTTGAGTTTTAATGATAATGACAAAATAAAGGGTAAAGTGAATAGTACCATGATTGACTTCTTAGTGTAAAAATGTGGTTTTTCGTTAAGTAAACAGTACCGTGGGCTTTTCGTTAAAACTTCTTTTGATTTGTTGGTTTGCTCATTTTTCCTTTGATGATATGCTTTTTAAGTTCGGTTCTGTGAGGAACCCTACTGATTTTCTATGCCGGAATGTTACGGTGAATCCATATCTGAATAGCAACGGGGTTGCGTTGTTTGAAACCGAAAAAACGAGACCTGACTCGAGGATAAAGCTATTTCTTTAAAGATGACATGAACTTTGTGTACAGATAATATACAGATCAGTGTTTGTAACCATCGACCGTATTATTTTTATGGCGCAAGAGCCATCACCTCCTGTAAAATGACAGCAGCCTCATTGTATCGATCTTGGGTCAACGCCAGGCTTCGAATTTTCACTGCATGATCCAACTGGAAAGCAAATACATAAACAACTAGCATACTGTCACGTGAAAAAAGCTAAATCGTACAGAAGTGCGTAATTGGTTTGAGATACCGCACAATAACATCCCCGCATGTGTTTAGGGAGGTCTAAACGCAGTTGCATACAGGTGGTTAAGTTAATTACCTCTTCAATGGAGCAAAACAGTTTGTTGGCAAGTTCAGTGAGAGCTCTCTTCTGGTCCCTTGGTGAACGAGAGATCATCTGATTAAGATCACAGTACAAGAAGGTGGATTTGAGGCGGAGATCCCTTCCCATCAATTCCCACGAGCGATCGTCGTTCGTCAGATCGTTTCCGATTGACAGTAAATCGAAAGCACACTTCTTAATCCTGCAAGCACTTCCCTTTAATTGCATGTCCACCATTTTAGCATGCCCTACACAATACAAATTATGGCATCAAGTAGAATAAATAAGAGCAAGGTTCTCCTCATGTCACAAGAAAAGCATACGCCTCAATTGAAAGTTGAAGCCTTTATGCTTAAGAGAAGGAAAAGGGGAAGTGATCCCACAATTTTTTTTTTTGCCGAACTTTAGATTGAATAAATCAGAAGAGAATCAAAGTACATAAATAACGGTCGGGAGTGCAGACGGGAAACGAGAGTGTGAAAATTTTTTACTCCCCAAACCAAACGGTGCGACTGTGACAAAACGATGACTTGTCTTAAAAAGCACTTTTGATCACAGCACAAAAACTTTCTGGGAAAAAAAAAGTGATTCTTTTACTACAATGGTAAAACTACATTCAACATCATCAGATACTAAAATTATTATTATTAATCGAATAAAAAAGGTTCAAATTCGTTTTGTTGAAAGCACTTTTGAGCTAAACCAGCAGCTGGAAATTCATAAGTTTGAACTCGGAAGCTCTCATAGAATTGCATCATGCAATTTCGAAATTTTCAAAGGAAAAAAGAATGTCGGAAAATAATAACATACATATGTAAAATAAATCAACCCCTCATCCCAGAGTATCATAAATCATACATAATTCGAAGCACCAAACCCAGAAAAATAACGAATTAAACATACAAAATTCAAAGCAACAGAGAATTAATAATAAATGAAAATTAAAATAAAAAAGAAACAAATTAAATTAGGGAAAAAAAGAGGAAGAAGAAGGAGAGGAGAGAGTTACCTGAACGGTGTTCGTGAAAACGAGGATATGTCATATATTGTTTGCCTCCTGTAGTCTGTCCTGCTTCAACAGAGAGAGACGCATAAATAATATTAATTTAATAAAACTACTTTTTGAGCAAGAAATTAAAACTAAAAAGTTTGTTTTGGTCGTGCAAAAATGTTATATAAAATATATATTTTAAGAAATAAAAGGTGGGGACTCTGGTGGTTGTGGGTTTTGTGGTAAATATCTTTTTCTTCTAAAAATAGAGTTTCGGATTAAATATTAAAATTAAAAATTGACAACAATATTTATTGAAAAATTAAATCAATGGCAACCCGTCAACTTCTCTTGCTCTCACACAATTCCATCAAGCAATTTCGAAATTTTCAAGGGAAAAGTATGAAGTTGTCCAATGTGATCTGAAGGCATTCGTCAGCAACCATCTTCAAATATTGTACAAGCTAGCACTACAATTTAGCGATATTTTTATCAATGTTTAAAAATTTGAACTTGCCTTCGATGATCAACATAATCAAATAAATTTTGGGCTAGCAAGAAAAAATTGTTATGGAATAAAAAATAGCGTAAGGTCGAATGCATTTCTCTCTCCTTTCTTCTTTGAAATAATAAAAGACTTAATTATCTAATTAGGTTTGGACCTTAAATTAAAGTTTTTTTTTTATTTTTTGAACAACCAATGTTATCTACATTAATAGAGGAGGGGATGAGATAAGCCTTACGATTGACTAATAATAATGTAGTTCAAATTCGTCTTTGGCAAAAATCGAATCCAAAATTTCTCACTTACAAATGAATGATTAGACCTTAAATTAAAGTTAGAACTCAAAGAGTGGCTTAGCTCAAATTCCTTGTTAAAGCTAGACCTTAAATTTACAGTATTTGAAACCAGTCACATGTACTAGAGTTTTTATAATTCGGGGCAACATGGTAAAAATAAGCTGGAACTTTGCATTAAGCGAACCCAATAGGCCCGGTTGTTATTAGGCGCCTAAACTTGAGGCCCGAACTACTCCATTATAATTTGTGCCCATTTGAAAATTTTCACTAAATGTGTTTTATGACTCACAGTTTTGGATTTGACAACAATACTTACATCTATTTAAAACAATGATCATCTCGATGATCAATGATGATTGTATCAAGTACTTATATTTACATAAATTATTTCTGATCATCAAATAGTGAATGTATTAAATACATGTAAGTATTGTAGTTAGTCATCACAAGTTTTTGCAAAAATTTAAATACAAATTTTTTTTGCTAGATAATTTGCGTTGTAAGGCAAATTTAATAAGAGAAATTGAGATTTGATTTTTATGATGTAAAACATAAAATAAATAATAATTACTAGCAAGACACAATTTATACTATAACAAAATAAATTATAAGATCAAAGAAAATATTGAGAAAAATATTTTATGGTGATTTATACAAAAGTGATAAAATTGTGAGATATATGTTTTTTGATGATTTTTAGAAAAGTGATAAAAATTATGAGTTATAGCTCAAAATTTTTACTCAATATTTAGACTAAAAATTAGAGATCAATAAAAATTATCGGGAAGGTTGCAAAAACACATCCAAACAAAGAAAATGAAGATTTGCTGATCATTAAGTTCCAAATCAAAGTGACAAATAAAGCTATTTGCATATCCATCAAATCCCACAAATACATTTTTTTTGTACTTTCAAATTGCATTGTTGCTTTTGGAATCAAGTGCTCAACTCTTGGACAAAGTACGAACTTTTATTTATTTTTGTCCTAATAGATAGAAGATCAACTTTCAAGTTTGAATGGCTTATTTTTCTCAGGTGTACATATATATATATATATATATATATATATATATTAAAAATGAATGATATATGGGATGAATGCTTCTTATGTCTCTTTTGCCTTCACTAACAAGTAACAACCAAATTCCCTTGGAAGAAAAATGCCAAAAACATGTTCTTCCAAGGCGAAGCCGTTTTATGAGGTTATCGTAGACAACATATGAATGCGACCAAAGCCTGCACGCATGCACATTGTTATAGTTTACTCATTTCCCACGATGTTCTTTGGGTTTTAGTCAAAGATTTATTTAATTAATTGTTTAATAAATCCATAAATCTTTGTATGTGCATCTGATAATTAAGTAGTACCAAGAAACTTAGCCGCCTAATTGATCCCCTTTGTTACTATAATTTAGTTTATGAATAAGCTGTGTGACAGTATGCATGATAAAATACAAGTTTCTGACAAGTTTTGTAAATCAAACATATAAATATTTTAGTTTGGTTTGTCTTTTAATCGAGCTAAATTAGACTTGGTTTGTTATTTTCACCCGTTAAATCCAAAGCGAGTTAATACAAACTTCTCGTGAGTTTTGTAAACCAAACATATCAATATTTTAGTTTGATTTGTTTTAATCGAGACAAATTAGACTTTGGCTTGTTACTTTCACGAGCTAAATCCAAAACAAGTAACTGTTTCGAGCTGATTTCAAACCTAGTTTGAGTTGTCTTGTGAAAAAGTAGAAGCTTCTTTCCACGAGCTTTGTGAACTAAGGATACCAATGTCCAAATTTTAATTTGTATCTTAATCAAACCCAATTAAGATTGACTTGTTTCTTTCACGAACAACTCAAATTGCTTTAAGAGATGCCCGCCTGTCAAACGAACAAAGTTGGTTGTATTTGTTGTGACGAGAGATTTGTGGACTGAATTGTGACAAAGACATGCTGGTGTACCAGCACCGGCACCACAGATACATTGTTACATCATAGTGTCGAACTTTCAGGGAGGGATGGAGTCATCTGGGCGGCAACGCGCCCTCCGTTGACCAAACTTTCTTAATTTGCTTACGTTTTTGGGCCCCACCCTAACATGTGGTTATTCAAAGTTTGAAAAGTTGGGAGGCGGCTGATGCACATGCACATGCAACATATTGCAGCAGTAAATAAATCTCGTGAGTCTCCTGCGACCCAGAAGAAAGTGAAAGTTAAAGTCCCTCATGGATTATGGATAAAGTCCCTCATGGATTATGGATCTATAATCTTGATTAATTAGTTGCTTTCTGTGGCTAGATTTAAGGAGAGGAGGTATCTAATTATTGTCATGGATTATGGATCCATAATCTTGATCATTATAAGTTTAATTAAAAGGATTATAATTATAATTATCTAAAACCGAAACCAGAGTAGTTGGAGTTCTTCTAACTCTCACCACATGCATTTGTCTTTTGCCCATATGGAGCCTATCATTGATTCTAATTGTGAAATTTCAACTCTCAATTTATACCTGCCTGCCTAATTAATATATTTATAACTATTCAAATTTCAAAGGAGAAAATATTTAAACCGAGGTAGTTAAAATCATGATTATTCCTCATGTTAGTCGGTTCCTAAGTTTCTTTACAAATAATTAATAAATGAAGTTTACAACTTGAGTACTGGTGGACAAATTATAGGAAGTTCTTTAACAGTGGAAATTAAGAAGTGCTAAGAAACTTAGGATGCCTATAACATTGTTTCTGTAGTAGTGCTTAATAGATGCTAGACTTATTCTATATGCAGTGGCAGAATTAGAATTTTATCAAAAGTGTAGGATTTTGCTCTCGGCCTATGACTGTACTTTTTATGTTCTATTGTACGTAGTTGAGGAAAAGGAAGGGGGCGCATCCTGCATTCTACGAACCAAGCTCATGAGACCTATATATTAAACTCAATAATTGAACTCATTCGTGTTTGATTCAAGTTTTTCAACCTACTGTGAGTTTAAATTCAAAGTATAAGAGTCAAATTCAAAATTTCCAACCACTGCAGAAGGCCTAATAAAGAAAGGAGATGAACATATATGATGATTATCATATTGAGAGGAGTAGTAATATACAGATAGGCCGAGAGGGTAGAACTGATATAAGGATCACCCTCGTAGAAATAAATATTCACTTACAATATAATTGTAAAACTTTGACTTTTTTGTACATATGTATTTTACTGTGATTTGGTCGAATGAAAATTAACACCTTTGAAAAAGAGGCAAGTAGTATCTTGAAGGAATTAAGTCTCTCTTAAGGACCAAAAAGAAAAGTCAAATTAGCAACTGGGGACAAGCTTAGCTAGCTTGCCATTGCCAAATCGAGAGGAATGGGTCCTATTCCATTGAGTTAAGCTTTTCATAATGTCCACAAAGTCAAAAAGATGAGTTAGGTTGGATTCATCCTCTTCATCATTTCCCCATTTTTTTTTTCAATTATTTTCAACATATAATCAGTATTCGTGTCTCTGTGTGTGTCGAGTGATGGACTTAGTCTCCCCTCAGGTCCTCACTCACCCTCTCTCAAGAACAATATCAGAGAATAAATGGTCTCCTTCTGACAATTGTCACCCCTTGAGAGCTCCCCTCTTTACCCTTCTCTCCTTTCCCACTTTTGTACTTTTCTTCTTGTTCTCTTTTGCCCTCCTCCTCCTCCTCTCTCTCTCCTCTTTCTCTCTCTAACCTTATATTGCCATATATATATATATATATATATATACACACATTTGGTGCTCCTTATTTTTCACCTTGCCACACTTCATAACCTCCTTCTCATCAATTCTTAGTCAAAACTTCAAAACCCCATTACCAAACACACACAGATATGATAGAATCAATCCCTCCTCTCCAACAACATTACAAAACCCTCGTGCGCAACCTTCACTGCCACGGCACCGAGCACGGACAAGGACCGGTCACGGAAGAATGCCAGCTACCGTTGATAGACCTCAACGGGCTGAACAGCCTCGATGAGAGGGAGAGGCTAGAATGCGCAGCAGCCATCTGCAGCGCGTCGTCGGAGTGGGGATTTTTTCAAGTTGTGAACCACGGGATAAGCCCCGAGCTACTAAAGAACATGAAGACGGAGCAGCTCAACCTGTTTGGAGCGCCCTTCGAGCAGAAGGCTACTTGCGGGCTGCTCAATAATTCGTACAGGTGGGGGACGCCGAGCGCGACTCGTCCAACTCAGTACTCCTGGTCCGAAGCTTTTCACATTCCTGTCACAAAAATCTCGGACCAAGCTTGTTATGGGGACGGTTTTAGCTCTCTCAGGTACTTCAATAATCTAATTAACGCAGAAAAGTGATTTCCACGAGCTCATTTTTTACCTTTGCACACATGTATTTATTTACTTTTTAAATTTACATCAAATAAAATAAACGAGAATAAAAGAACTTGTGCGATGTAATGTTCTGGAAGAAAATGTGTGGACTCTGACAAGGTGGTCCTTCTAAATGCAACTTGGAACTTTCAAGTTGCTTCTGGCCGAACACATCACAGTGGCCAATGCAGTATGGCATTGGCAGTACCTTTTGTCAATAATAACTCATCAAGCTTTCTTTTTTGGTAATCTTTTTGTCAATAATAACTCATCAAGCTTTCTTTTTTGGTAATCTTGTACAGGGAAGTGATGGAAGTATTTGCAGAGCAATGGCAAACCTGGCGGAATTGCTAGCCGGGATTCTAGTGAACAACCTGGGCCACCGGAAGGAAGCGCTGCAAGATATTTGTGACTCGAGCACTTGCTTTCTCCGATTGAACCGCTACCCGGCTTGTCCGATATCATCGGAGATGTTCGGCTTAGTGCCTCACACTGACAGCGATTTCCTCACAATTCTAAGCCAAGACGAAGTGGGAGGACTTCAGCTCTTGAAAGACTCCAAATGGGTTGCTGTAAAACCTAACCAAGATGTACTTATCGTTAACATCGGAGATCTTTTTCAGGTGAGAAATTAGCTCTTCAAAAACATAATCACTCAGCTCCCATTAATTTGATTAGTTTATAATAATTAAGCTGTGGTTAATAAACCCTAACTGTATAATATAGGCGTGGAGCAATGATGCGTACAAAAGTGTGGAGCACAAGGTGATGGCAAACGAGAAGAGGGAACGTTACTCAGTAGCATACTTCATGTGCCCTTCCTACGATTCTTTAATCGGGAGTTGCAGATCACAATCTTCCATCTACAGAAACTTCACTTTTCGAGATTACAGAAATCAAGTCCAGCAAGATGTTCAGAAACTTGGACACAAAGTCGGCCTTTCGAGATTCCTTCTTCGATAGCAACGACCAAGATTTTGAAATGAACTGGCACATAGCATACATCAAGTGATAGATCCCGATACATGCTACTCGGTTCATACTAGAAAACCGGCGCAGCCTGCAGCAGCAAAAATATGCAACAAACATCACAAGGACGTCGCCATATTTAGGACAATTATATTATTATATTGGATTTGTAAAAGAATATTATAAGAAGTTGATTCCATTCAATAGTCGAAAGTCAACACGTGCTGTCTTGTCTCCAAGGAAAACATCATCTTTTGTTAGTAATTTAATAGTCGTCATCCTCAAACATATTTTATTACTTCAAGTATAAAATAATAGTTATATACTTGCACCATTTTAATCTTCACTACAAAAGGAGGGAGGGAGGGAGGGAGGAGGAGATAGAGATATGGGACAATTATTGATAGTAATTTGATTATTTATTAATAAAATTTTATTATCAACAAAAAAGAATGAAAAGATTAAAATAATTATGTCAATAAATTAAAGAAAATGATCAAATAAAATTTATGGGCAATATAGTAAGTAAACACAAAATAATTTTATTTTTTTAAGCCTCATAACCAGGTAATCAAATCAATTGCCTTATTTTCTTTTTCACACCTTTCTCGCTAATAAAATAATATTTTAGTATGAACTAGTTATCCTTAAACAGTCATTAAAGATATGAAATCCAACAATAAAAATCGTTTGAAAATCGTCACCAAATAGTTAAGACCATTTTATATTTCCTATCTTTGTGAATTTTTCAAAATTTTAATAAATACATACATAGCATGTGTACAATTACTAATATAATATATATACAATTGTGTCTTGTGTACACATAGAGAAATTACATATTCATTTCTCCTCCACTTAGATATAAGGTACATAATTGTTTTGTATCTTTTAACTTTTTCACGTAAGTATCTAAAAAAGTTTTTCGGTGTAACTATTACATTATTAAGGTCAAACGTAATTATAACAATATCAAATTCATGTTTAGAGATGAAATTAATATTCAAGTCGGTGGGGAAAGAATTTGGTAAGGAAAGTGAGCCTTTTTCTTGGCCCAATCTCTCTCAAATTGCTCTGCATTCGGCTCCACTCGTGCCAACGTGAAACTTCTTACTTACTCTCCAAGTCAAGTAATATGATTCGAATCTAGCTGATATTTTGATAGAACATACGAGTCCAGAGCTAAAGACGAAGTAAAGAGATGCTGATTTGGAAAGCAACAAAAGGCCAAGTTCCAATCACACAAACTCAGAAAACACGACGGCAGCTTTTGGGGGAAATTTTCACTCACTTTTTCTAGTCGGGTTAATAATTTTGTTCAAAGTTCATCATAACACTTATTTTCTTTCACCTACCCCACACTGTGGGATTTAAGAATTCATGTAAGATTTTTAATTTCTGTTTTTCAGGGTGGAACACTATTTTTGGCCTCATTACAATATTTTTCACTTATTTTTTTAGTTTTCGCTTGAATATTCTACTTAATATATATTTGTTGCTCAATAAATCGTAAATTTGCTTCCAAATTCCTTAAAAAGGGCGAGCTTCTGGCACGCAAAATGATGCAAACACCTCACATGCATAACAAAGCGAACCAAGGCACACAAGACGAGGTGGGCCCCTACAGCAAAACAGGGCAAACTCTCGGGTGCTTAGAAAACGAGTTGGGCTTCTTGCATGAAAAAACATACTTTGAAGAACATGAATATGATAGTTTGTTGTAGTGGTAAAAGAAATAAAAAAAATTAACAAAAATGATTCAAATTCTTGAGGGTACTAGAAAGTCACGTGAATTCAACCATTTTTGTACATTTTAACATCTCTAATTAAAAAATAAATAATAAATAAAAAAACATTCATTTTAACATCTCTATATTTTTCACTTATTTATTTACTTTTCGGCTTAAAATATTCCACTAAATATGCATCTATTGCTGAATAAATTGTAAATTCGCTTCTAAATACATTATAAAGATTTTCTTAATGCTAAAGGAAAATATTTCAAGAAAATAAAAAAATTTGCATTTTTTACAAAAAAATGTGGATTAACACTCACGAGTTTCAGTCAGATTTGCAAATTCGTACATAAATCACCGTTCAATCTACTTATTTTCACCTTTGCCTCACTTATTTTTTAAGTTTTTGGCTTAAATGTTCTACTAAACATACATTTGTTGCTCAATAAACTGTAAAACTTCTTCCAAGTTCCTTAAAAAGTTTAAATTAATGCTCAGGAAAAACATTTTGCGAAAATAAAAAACTTGCATTTTTGTCAAAAAACATGGCTTTTAGGTGGCTTGACACATGCAAAATGAGGCAAACTCAGCTCACGCAGAATGAGAGGAATCATGGCCCCCAAAACAAGGTGGGCTCCGTTCATAGAAATCAGGGCAAGCTTTTTGCATACAAAATGAGGCGAGCTCCGCGCACAGAAGGGATACATCACACAATTTGAGACCAGTCCTCTGCAGGAAAAACGAGGTTGGCTATATGCACGTTAGATGACGCGAGCTCCTTGGACGCAAAAAGGGCGGGCTTTTGACATGGAAAACGATGCGGACACCTCACATGCATAATGAGACGAACCAAGGCACACAAGACGAGGCGGGCCCCTCGCACGCAGAGCTGAATGAAGTCCCACGTGCCCAGAAAACAAGTCGGGCTCCATGCACGAAAAAATATATTTTGAAGAACATGAATACGATAGTTTGTTTTAGTAGTAAGAGAAATAAAAGAAATTTTTTACATAAATAGTTCAAATTCTTGAGGGTGCCAGAACATTTCTTCCCTTAAGTGTAAAACTTCAGTTGAGGATTAAAAAGAACTTTATAAGGCATTTAGAAACGATTTTACGATTTATTGAGCAACAAATATGTATCAGTAGAATATTGAAAACTACAAAAATAGTGAAAAATATAGTTGTGAGGCTCCAAACATTGTAAAAAACCAGTCCCACCCTTCAGAATACCAATGGAAAGTCTTACATTAATTTTCAAAACTTAATGGTGATGCGAAGTTGAAAATAAATAGATTGAACGATAATATATATATGAATTTGCAAATCAACTAAAAACCATGAGTGCTAGCATGTTTATTTGTCAAAAAAAATGGAAATTTTTATTTTCGCGAATTATTTTCTGTAAACATTAAAAAAAGCTTTATAAGGCATTTAAGAGCAATTTTATTATTTATTAAGCAACAAATAAATATGTAGTAAACTATTTAAGCTGAAAACTAAAATAATATGTAAAAAAATATAATAGGGACGTCCAAAACATTGTTAAAATGGGGGTTCCACCAACAAAAATATCAACGAAAAATCGTACCATAATTTTCAAAACTTCACGTTGAGGCGAAGGTGAAAAATAGATAAATTAAACAACAATTTATGTATGAATTTGCAAAACCTACTAAAAACTTTGAGTGCAAACCCACATTTTTGGTCAAAAATGGAATTTTTTTCTTTTTGCAAATAGAAAATGATGCGATCGTTATTCCCCAGCAAGAGTTAAATAATAAATATAAGAACCATGCCCTTCAATTTTAAGGTAAGAGAAAATCACCTCCTCGGCGCTAATCACTAAATATCAACATACTGTTAAGGTATATTTGGTAGCTCATAGCTGTAATATTCAACCAACAATTGCATCAAGATTTGGGATATCACAAAGTCACCCATTAAGAAAGATCCACAGAAGGCAGATTATTTTACTGAATTCAGTATGCAACGCCAGCTCAAGTCTAACTAACAAGTTCACAGAACAAAACGATTTAGGTTTCAACAGTTGAACCAGACTCAGATGGTGTTGCAGAATGCTGGCGCTGTTGGTCCATCGGTAACGATGGTGGCGGAGGCACTGCATCATGATCCTGCGAGTAAGGTTGTGGTGGAGCCGGCATATACCCATACGGAGGAGGATAAAATTGTTGATGATATTGACCTTGCGGTGGAGCCGCAGTTTGAAATGTATAATGCTGCTGCCTATCGAAATTGGCATTCTTCTCGCCCGACCCTGCAGGACACACTGGGGATCCTGTCCTGGGACGGGATGAGGGCACCCATCCTTTGAGGATCCATCGAAGGATAAAATGTTCTCTCCTGGGAGGGTGGAGGTGGGATGTTGTAGAAGTGCACTGGAGCATATTGGTCCTGTTGTAATTGGTTGTGCTGTTGAGATATGACTGCTCGAGGCAACAATCCACCATGAGCTAACGCCTGCTGCGTAGCTCCATTTGCGCCCTCAGGTTCCTCTCTTGGTGCTTGGGGCCTTCCCCAGAGTAACTTCAATCTCAAACCCTTTACTACCAGTTTACTATAGAGTTCTTCAGCCGCCTTTTCTGCGCCTTCTCTCGTCGTGTATGTTACAAACGCACACGCTTTTTGGAGAACCATCCTTATGGATTCTATTTCACCAGTGAGCGTAAAAATGATCCCTCAAATCCTGCTCAGATATTCTCGCATCAATCCCGCCCACATATAGCGTTCTAATGCTCTCATCCTCTGGTGGTTCCAGAGAGGGCATCTCTCCAGCCTTGTTAAGCAGCTTCATTGCTACTGGATCATTGACTCTGCAGATATGTACGTAAGATAAGAAATGAGCATCATAATTCACAAGAATCACAACATAAACTTCAAAAATCCATCAAACAATTTCCTCTCATAGCTAACAAAAATGAGAAATTCAGTATGAGCTAACAATTGATCCAAAAACATTAACGACATGTTTCCTTGCCACGATTAAGTACAAGAATAAAGAGAATCATTGGAATTACTGACTTTCCCACGTTTACTAACACCCTAAGAATAAAAAATATATGACTTCCGCCATAAAACTGTTAATCAAATACTCAAAACCAGAAACAGGATCAAATAGTCGGGTAGTTGATCCGACTTCCATACCTTACTTCCCTTTCCCAAGTTGCCCCGCAAAAATTCTATCATGCTCCTGAGTATTCAACATTCGGGGGTTTTAACCGTTACATCATTGTAAGTTTGACCACAGATCTAACTACCAAAAAATCCGAAGTACAGAATACTCCGAAGCATATTCTAAAATCTCAATTTTCCCGTTTCTAATAAGTAACCATGCCATAAACAACAGAAACAATGATCACCAACAAACATATACAGAAACTTTTAATATGTAGTCATGTATGTTATGAAAAACATACCCGTAATAACGGTCTTTGATGTTCTGTTGTGACAATTCCCCGGTAACTGGCATCTCGTGCCGGTAAGGGCACTCGGCACCTCTCGTGCACTCACCCCGAATGTAGAAACTGCAGACATGAGCTCGGTTCCTCTTGTAATACGGCTCCGTCCTC